TGCCATGATTAATTCCAGCTGCAAGAAATGGTATTAGCCTGGGTGGGTACATGGTTGAAGACTCTGATTCTCCTCCAAGATTTATGGGTGCTAGAGAAGGCTCCATAACTCATGTTGCTGAGTCTATAACTTTTCAGGCAGTAAACAGAAGGCTCTGCCACAGCAGGCCTCCACTATGGATTCACCCTTAATTTGTTCCTGCAGTGGGAACTTAACACAATTCTTTGGGCACTGATAAACTCCTTCCTTCCAAAGCTCAGCAGAAAGGGAGGCATCCCAGAGCTTGAACAGACAGCTGGTGACAGGCACCCTCACCTGCAGAACAACACAGCCAGGAGGGACTGAAGCTGGTACTCTCCCTACAGAAGGGAAGGGTTGCCTCAGACCATGTTACCACACCAGACTTACAGGGCACAAAAGAGAAAAGCAAGCAGGGACCAGATTTTTGTTCTGTGGTCTAAGAAGTACTGAGCTCTGGTTCCAGGTCTAAGCATTTATTTTGGATCCAAGACTAGTTATCCAGTAAGTAGTTAACACGGAAGAGTATCATTGGAAGTAGAAGCCATGGGCCACCAAAACCCCAGGTCTCTCACATACATGTTTAGGCATTAAGATGATCAGAAGGAAGAGGACAGCTCTCAACACCCTTGAGTGAATCATACTCAGTGCCATCACAGTGATCTTGGACACAGCTGCAGCACATCTACTGGGCCTCCAGGAGATGCAAAGATGAGAGACTTAGCTGTGAGCCAAAACCCACCCACGGGATGAGGTCTCTGCACTGCCCAAGTGGGGCTGCCTCAGTGCTGTAGCAGAACCCAGACTTTAGGTGGCCCAGCACTAAAGAGCAAAGATCCATCTGAGCACAGAACCTCTTTCTGAACAATTTCCTACAAAGTAAAGGTTTCCATGATCAACAGCCACTGATGAGCTTCTCCTTCATGTCTGTATCTAATCCCCTTTTATCCCACTTGTACTTACAGTCCTCATGACATCAGATGGCAGAATCCCATCTCCTCACTACCTCTGGTGTAGCAAAGGCAGGTGCCCGCCAGGGCACAGCATGGTGCTGGAGGAGTTCTGTCAGCTATGGCCACAGCCTCTAAATTCTGACTGTACCATGAGACCCCAAAGAGAGCATCATAGTGACCTACACAACTCTTGACTTCCTTTATTTCACAGGTTTACAGGTGAATTTATTTGTGGCCAGTCCCTTCTAATTACCTTCCCCTCCTCCTCTCCATATTAAGGCCATAGAAGTTGCTTGGTATTCAAAAACATGACTAGATTATCAGTCCTTTTATTAGTGCCAGTGGCAATCTGATACCATGTTCCAGCCCGGCCACTTGCTTCACACCTCCCCAGCTAGCATAAACTGTCCTTATTCATAGTTGCAGAGACTTCCAGAAAAGAGAGGGAAGTCAGCAAGTCTGACACCACAAACTCAGAAAATAAAGTACAGTTCGGACTTGGTCAGAGGTGAAACAAGATAAGAACAGATGGGAAACCTCAGCTATATGAAAATTTCTGTCTTCTCCTCAAAAAAACCAAATCATCATTACAGAGACAAAAAAAAAGTTCTGTTACCAGAATTCTGCTTTAGGTTTGAATCTGTGTGAGATGATATCTGCTGCTTACATCCCTGTCAGTCCTTCCCTGACAATCAGCCTACGGGATCAGTTCTTAGGAGAATTATTGCATATATAAACCCAGATATATAGAGAGTAGCTCAATCTGGATGGAGTTTAAGATAGAGATGAGAATAAGCCATATGATATTTGAGGGGCCAAGGTAGCAGAAACAAATATCCATAAGTCCAGAGTTCAGAATTGTCTCACTTCATACAGCAGCTCAATACAAATCACAGTCTAAGTACAACATTATCATATTCAGTTCTCATGACTCCCCTGGCATCCACCTCACCTAGACCAGGACTGCACTTGAGCAGGAGTGAAAAGGCAGAGCCAAACCATGTTACACAACTCCACAAAGAAATACAGAGGTTCAATATGCTTCAGACAAACCCAAGAATAACCATTACACTGTGGAAAGTATTTGCCATTAAAACATTTTTCATTAAAAGTGGCATTTCTGAGAGTTCTATCCTACTGAAAAGCAATAGCAGCCTCACATCAGAAAGTCTTTAAGAAAAATTTCCATTGCTATAATTAACTTCTCTGTTGAGGTTGTATTGTTCCTCTTTCACAGAAAAATCTCAGCAAAATTTCCATGGTTTAAAGGCAGCCAAAAAGGTGTCCTGTTCCATTTTTCAGGAAGAACTTGCGGTCACAAGGCATCTAGTGGAACTTTAAGCTATACATAGGGTGCAGAGCAAACACAGGGTACACACCTACTCCTCTGAAACCAAAGGCAAGCCAAATGAAAGGCCCAGCTCGTTCTGTAAGCCAGCCTTGCCACTGGGGCAGCTACAAAGTCCTATCTGTTGGCCAACAGAAGAGTCAGAAATAAGGCAAGATCCAGGCTTGTACAGCACGTTCCTTCTCCCAGCACACCTTTTCTTAATGTGAGGAGCCTAGAGAATGGAGACAAAATCTTGGACAAGTAATTTTAAAAGCAAACTCTGCCCCTCACTGCAGCCAGATTCTAACCCAGCTTGGCTTCAACCCTGCCAGTACTCCAACAGTGAGAGACCCTCAGACATGAACTGGTATTAGTCCCAACAACAGCAAATTCACTTTTTCCGGACAGAAACAGCCTTGAATGAGGCCCTGTTGTTTCCCTGATCCCTGGGTTTGGGTTGCTAGCATGTACAGATTAACAGATCAGGAACCTGCCCCACACGTTACTGTAAAGTCTTCTGGTTTGTGCGTCACATTTCTGAGATGTGAAGGAGCAGGGAAGACCCTCCAAAGTAACACCTAGAATCGAACCTAACCCCGTTATCTCTGCACTAAGCCCAGGAACTTCCAGACTTTTCTTTGCAACTTGCTCCTCACCACTAAAAAAAAAAAAATAAAAAAAAAATAGAAACTTGATTTAATTCTACTTTGCATAGAGCTCTGGTAATCAGGTGCTGTTTTTAATTCACACATCCCCAAAGGAGATTAATAATTACATTTCCTCCTGGTAATAGCAGTCCACATACTGACAAAGTCATATCAATTTCATCTTACTGAGATGAAAATATTTAACTTTATTCTCGTAACTTCATGAGCTAACTCTGAAGATACTGGTGTACTGATGCTGTTGATTTCTCCATCCACCCTAAAAATATTGAAGCCATTCTCCCACTTTTTATACCCCTTGATCAGTCTCTACGGAACTTAAAAAACAAAGTTGCTGTGAATTGGGTGAGGAGGGGGCAGAAACCAAGGCGAAAAATAAAGTCTAGTTTATGTCCATCAAGGCAAAGGAAAAAAACCGTTCAACTGTCCCAGAAACACGGAAATATGACCAGCTAAACACCACAAAGAGCTCAGAACCAGATGCATCTTGTACATGCTGCTGCCCAGAGAATCATTAGGAGACTGGGGAAATGAGATGCCATTTAGGAGAATAATAAATACATGCCTATTTTATATACAGAACATATATATTACACAGGCTTAAATGATACACAAAACCATCCAAAAACTGGATCTAAAGCTGAGCAGACTGTTATCTTGACCCTCAGCTAGTCAAGGATGCAAGCCACCCAGCAAAAGAAATAAAAAAAACCCAAACCACAACCAACCAACACAATATCATTCCCAAATTTCTTCCAGGCCTGCTTCAGTCCCACTGATACATCTCCATTCCTTATCAAACAAAATGCCTAATGCCTTGTCCAGAGGCTCAGATGAACAACTGATTGAGAATATTCCAGGAAATCTCAGCAGAGCTTGAAGTTAACAGGAGGAGCAGATACATTCCCCAATTTTTAGTAGCTTCAGTTTGAAACTGGCTTTCTTGTTATGCCATTAAACACTGCTCATTCCCAGGACTTTGTTCTGGATGCAAGGATCACCCTGTAAAGGCTCTGGCTGTAGCTGCATGGACAGGCCCACTAGATGAGCACAGCTTCTACTCTACTAGTGGTTTAACCCATCCAGAGGAAGGAATTCCCAGAAATCCCAGATGCTCCAAACTCATACTTCACCAAGAGGAAAAGAAATAATTTCAGCGTGGTTTCAGAGCAGCAAAAGACCTGCTTTGTTGAGCTGGTATTTGATTACACTCCCAGCTACACATGATCTCCTTCACTGCTCATTCACCACCCCCTGAGGAACACCTGTAGCAAATCACCCACCTATCCTAAAACAGCATGTCTGGACAAGGCAAACTGAAAAATGAGACTTCAAAAGCAAGCTCACAGACTATGAAACAATACTTCTGCCACCTTGGATCGCAGACTCACATGTGTGGCTCAGTAGGTTTGTTCATCATGAAACCTCTGATTCTGCAGGTGACCTACTCCTATCCCACCAGCCTGCTCTACTACATAGGACAATTTAGCAGACAACACAAATACATCCAGTCCCTTATCTTCAGAAGGCTTCCAAACACCATTCCTAAAGGTCTGCACAACGTAACAAACCAAAATAACATTTCTTTGCAGCAAAAAATATTCCACGTTCTTGTAAGATTTTCTTTCATTCACAAAACATACATCAAACCACCTTTTTAACCTTCCCTTCGACAATATAAATCAAAGCAACTGCCATCCATGTCACATCTCAGTCCTCAAACCTATAAGAGGATCCCCACTCATTGGACAGGGACAAAGTTGCCCAAAGCAGCACCGTTAAGTATTTAACCAGAAGGAATTTTCTCCCCAAAGGAGAACTGGGGACAGGTATGAACACAGTAAAGTTGCAATAAGCTCCACATGGCTACATCAAAGCAATAACAATAAATATATTATAACAATCAGCTTCACCTTTAGACACATCTCTCCAAGAAAAGCAAATATTTCTCACCTGTGAGCCCACGGCAGATGGTGACACACAGGGTCGTGAAGACAAGCTGGCTGCTTGTGAAGATTCTTCCTGTGTCCTTACCTTACAATCCAAGTGAAGTTTATAGCCAGGCACTGCTGTCCTGTTTGACCACCAATCCCAGCTGCTGGCACTCCAGGGAACCTGGGCAGAAGACAAAGCAGAGACCCATCATGAGCAGCCTAAGTGTTCCTCTCCCCCCAGACCCCAATCATCCAATTCCATCAGCCACTAACACCTTTCTAAAGCAAGTCCTGGTGGATACCTGGAACATGGACTGCCCTGGTAAGAGAGGCTTAAAAGCTGCAAGCAACATCTCATTGAAAATGGGTAGACGAATCCAGAGCAGATTCTTCCCTTCCTCAAATGACATCCCAGGTGGAGTCTCCTCCTGGAGATGGAGACTGACAGTTAAGTCAGATTATGTTAGCTAACACTTTTCACCTGGGATACTCATAACTAAGCCCAAAATGGACTTGCTGGCAGTGCTCAGCCCTTGCTGTCATATTGCTGGCACCTGGCCATACCCCTGAGCAATAAAGCAGACAAAAGCACAGAGAAAATTATGGGATAACTCTTGGAGCAGCAATAGGCTCATCTAGAGTTGCAGACCCCTCATTTGCAAATCAGTTCTGGCTGACACTATGGCAACTGGGCCACAAGAGTCTTCCTTCCAAGGGGAGAGACAAATTAGCCCCATTCCCACTGCTTATTTTTTTCGTGCTCAGCACTAAAAGCTTTATCCAGACTACAATTATTTCATCATTGCCTTATAGCACAGGCAGGTTTGGAGAATAATCAGAAAAAAAAAGGAATTTCTCTTCAGCAGCATCTCTCCCCTGCTCTGCCTTGAAAAATTAAATATATATATACATACACGTCAGAGTTTTCAGAAGGTAATGGAAGGACTTCTGAGCATTCAAGATGACTGCAATTTAAGATCTTCCAGTTAAACTAAGATATTTTGCCAAAGCTGCTTTTAAAAAGTGAATGGCTCATTCCACCACAATACAACTGTTTCTATCCCAGGTACTTCAAGAAGAAACAGTGTTTGTTCTCTAAAAACTGGTTTAGAAATATTTTTATCAAAAAGATGAGGGGAAAAGGGCTAATTTTTTAATCACTTTTTTCTCCTCCCCCAGCGCCTTTATCTTTCCCCTAGCATTTTAGCATAGAAAAAGAGGAAATGCCAGTTACATACAAAAGTTCAGCTCATGCTTTTTAATTCTATGAAAAATAGATCCAGAGAGTGAGTAAAACATTTTTTTCTCCCACACAAAACCCTCAAGTTTTTTTAAAAAAATATTTTAAAAAAAGCTCTTCAATAAACTTCCCTTACTCAGTTTTAACCTGGTGCTCACTCCAATTAGGGCTCCACATTTAAAACCCTTCTATCAGAGGCATAACAAACCAATATTAAGCTTGTTTATTGTTACTTGCTAGCTCAAAAAAAACCAACCTGAGCCACAGCCTCAGAAGAGCTAGATCCGAGGTCAGGATCCCTAATCCCAAAGCCTCCTTTAATTTTACAGTCAACAAATCCATCACTGGTGAATATCACAGAGATTATTTTGCAAGCAGCAGAGCAAGATTGCCCGTCTAATTGGAGAACAAGCAGAAGAAAAACTTGCACAAGGTTTGCAGGCAACCTACATTTCCTTGTGTTCCCCTCCAAGCAGGTACAGACCTCCATCCTCCCCCGGGGTCAGCACCTTCCGCTGCAGAGCTGAGGCTGCTGTAAGAGAGGGTCATATATAGATGTGTCGGTGGGCAGGGCTTGTTGTGGCTGGGTGGAGCCTGTTGTGAAGGGGCGGGGCCTGTTCATGGAATTATGGAATCATCATAGAGTCAAAGAATCATCATGGAATCACAGGATCATCATAGAATGTTCTGAGCGGGAAGGGACCTTAGAGGTCCTCTACTTCCAGTCCCCTGCTTTGGAATCCATGACAGCGGAAGCCCAGCCAGGGCTTTGGCAGGTTCTGAGTGGTATTTCTGGGGTTTTCCACACAGAAGAAATCATTAAAAACTGTGCTTTTCTGCCTCTGTTCTAGTAAATAGAAGCATCTCCATGCTACAGTAGCTGGAGTAATAATTTCATGTTCCAAATAACAGGGTTCTTGCCCCTCTCTCCCAAGAAGCAATGATCAGATATGAAGGTTGAAGGACCAAGAGACCTTCAGATCCTTGAGTCTGTCCTGTATAACCCTGGGAGAACAGACCCTGAATTAAATCTTTTTGGTCTTCTGGCACAAGGCAGCTCAGACACCAACAGGGTTTCCAGGAAACTGCTGCATTCTCCTGAGAAAGCATCATCTCCAGCCTGCTTTGCCCCTAGAAATACTGCAGCCAAACCATGCATGAATGCAAAGGTGTAACTGGGATATTCAGAGATTAAATGGCACCAAGTGGTGCTACAGCTGAAGGTAAAGTCTGTTTTCATTACAATGAGGTGAAATGAAAAGTTTTATCTACCTGCAACAGCATATATCTATTATTAATATATTTATATATAACCCCTTCCCCATAATGGTGTAAAAAGTCACTTTGCTCCACAACTCCCTGTTAAGCACTGTGCCCCACTGAAAACCATGTCCAGTCTAAGTCAATTAGAGCCAAGTATTTCTCTTTTATGGAAATCAGGCTCTAATGAAGCCAAGAACAGCTCAGTGTTTCCAAAGTCAGAGGAGACCAAGGATTTTGGTGCTTGCCCGTGGAGCCATGGCCCATGTGGAGCAGGAGAGGAGGGTGCAGGCAGCAGGGAGATGGGGTTAGGGCAGGCAGAAAACACCACTGGGTGAGCACATGGCTTGATCTCCAGCTGCCACTGCAGCACCTTTGCAAGAAGCGTTCTGACTCACGAGCCAGCCCCATTTTATGGGTGTGAGGTTTTCTTGGTATTTCAGGCACCATTTGCTAAGGCACAGCCGGCATCCAAATAGCTTCTTTTACAACCAGACGCAAATACACCAAGCCCCACTACACACAGACAGAGATTTACTCACCCCACACATTCTCCTTGGTTAATGTGGTACACGTGTGCCACTGCTGCGTCCGCACGTCCTTCGCCAGCTCACCGAGCCCCGGCTGCTCACACGTGATGGCTCAGCTGGGTTCTGATGGCTTTTGCAGGAGGAGGTCAGAGGGTTCATTCGAGGATATCCAAACTATTTTAAACATACTACCCCATTCCTTTATGCTACAGTGGCTGCCCCTTTCCCCACACAGCACAGCAGATGCGGAGTCAGGAGCTTGAACGCAGCTTTAAGCCATCGCTGTAGGTGGATCGGCTTTCCTGGTTTCCCTCAGGTGTCTACCTTGTCGTGTCTCACACAGCCCCCAATCTAAGCAAAGGGAAGTTTAAACAGTTCAGACAGTCTGGAAATGCAGGGTATTCCTCCCCTTTCTGCATGACCGCCATGGGCTTGTCTTCCAGGGTTTCACAGCTCTCCCCGGGCTCGACTGTTCGTTTCATTGCTCCACGCTTGGCCTCCCCTCCATTCTCCCCACGACTCCTCGCAGTCGGGGGTCACTGAAGCTCGAGCTGCCGAGCCTCCCCAAGACCCCATCCCTCATTCCCAACCCATGAGTCACTTCCTCCCCTCAAGCCTCACCTTTCAACTTCCATTTTTCATTTGCTTATGATTTTCTCTCCATCTCCATGGGGGTTTTTGCCCTACACCATTCAACTGCAGCCCTGTTGGTCCAAGCAGGAGTGCTACTAGTGGTTTCAGCAGCTAATTGAGGGGTGTGAAGACATCACATAAACACAAGGGGCCAAATCTTCCTTCCATGAAACACAGTGCCAGCCCCTGTGGAGATGACCTGACTTGCATCAGCTGAAAATCTAAGCCATGTTGATGTGATCACTTGAGGTTTCTTTTCTCTCAAGAAAACAACATCATCAGATGATCAAAAGTTAGTTGGAAATTGTAACAAATCCATCTGACAAGAAAGAAAAAAGAAAAAATTCACTGCTTTCCCGTTTCACATGCTTTAAAATTGGCATGTTTTCTATGATTTTTCATCAGTATTTTGTGTTGAAATTATTGTTATTTTTGGAAACCACTACAAATATGGCTTTTGGTAGGAAAATGTAGTGTCTGGCCAATAAATAATTACTATCAGGATTTCAAAGATCTTACTGAAAAATCACCTCTAATTTAATAAAAAAATATGAAAATATAATTAGTGATAATTTAGTTTTGTGGAGTTTCATTTTAAAAGAGCTTAAAAAAACCCCTTTTTTTTGCCTATGAAGCACCATAAAATTTTAGCTCATCATAAAACCGTGCAGGCTGAGGTTTGGGGGTTTTGCCATCCCCAACCCCTGGCAACCAATAGTAAAGGGACTTCTGAACAGCAGAATCTGCCTGGGACTTCTGGCTCAATGGTCTCTGATGGACACATCCTTTATGGCTCTGTCTCATATAAAGCATTGGTATATGGTACAGTAATCCTTACTTTTTTACTGCATCAGCTGTGAATGGGAAAGTCCTCTATGGAAGAAGTGGGTGTTCAACTAAAATGAGCAAAACCATGGCCAGCCTTGGGATTTTAGCATATATAATAAGCTACACCTATGATCAGAGCAAAGAAAATTTAATAGTCACTATGGCCCCTTTCAAAATGTCACTCCTGCTTTCAGTATCCTCTTCCTGGACTCTTCCCCCTTTGCACCCTCAGGTCACTAAAGCTCAGTGACAGTCAGTGCCACTTCCCCAAGGACTTGCCACCTGAGCTCTCTCTCTCCTCACTGGGGTGATGGACTTGCCCAAGCAAGGTTCTTCCTCCTGGAATCTCCTCTGAAGGTCCCAGCAGTGTCCAGACCTCTCCAGCCAGTTCTCTCTTCCAAGAAGCCAGTGGGCAGAGATACCTCTAAGAACTCATGAAAGTGGGGTACTGTATCCACAACCACCCCAGCAGAGAAGAGCATCCTTCTTAATTTATGGCACCTCCTGACAGCAAGCTCAGACCCCTCTGAGGGCTCAGGTCTGAGCCTGCCCAAAGCCATGTGCATGGGCTGGGAATGACAGCACATGGAGCACAAGTCCATATGGCCACAGTCATTGCCCTTGACCAAAATACACCAGGCTATTTTGGGATCTGGGGTTACTTCTCTGGCTTACTGCTGGCTCATGGACATCCCAATTTTCTCCTCCCGCTTATTACACTGACTCCCCACATGCGCTCTCCCAGCACCTACTGGCCATGCTTGGGCTCTCCCTTGTCACTGCTGGGATGGTGACAGATGCAGACCAGGGAGGGAAGAGTGAACCCTGCCAGGGATAGGGGACTGCCCTCCCATGGATGCTACTCTCAATCCCTGGTGACCATCAGCCTGTGATGAGTGGGGAGTGTGGGTGTGCAGGGAACAAGGGACTGACAGGGCTTGGGAGGGTGCTCTGGTGCCTGCACTCACCTTAGAGGACTGGATCTTCCCCATCCCCAGCTCAGCAAGCCAGAGATTAATTACTAGGGACAGCTGAGACAGGAGGCAAATGGCACCACCCTGAAGCTGAACAAGGCCTGTGACTGTGCACTGTGGGATCCTAAATATTTGGAGAGCGAAGGTCAGGAGAACAGGACACTCCTCAGAGATGATTTTCTTCCCAGCCTGCAGCAGGGACACAGGGCTATGCCTGGAATGACCCTGGGCATTAGCCAGAGCCAGCGCCCTTGCGGGTCAGCCTCAGGTTCAGTGGTACCCACAGGCAGGTCCTTGACCTCCAGTTTTGGCTGCCACTGGGGTCCAGCACGATGCCCTCCCTGTGCCTGATGGGTATTTACGAGAGCCCCAACGTGGGGTTCCTGAAACCAGGAGAAAAGTGCCTGCTGGCCACACCACATCCTTGGTGGGGCATAGTAGGAGCTGCCGCTGGGCGGCTGATCCTCCTTGCCATGTCCCCTGTGCCCGCTGGCCAGGCCCCTGCTGTTGCCAAAATAAACACTTGGGCATGACAACGCTGACATTTGCCTTCCACAATCAGGCGCTGGGGAGAAGGACACAGCCGCGTTATTTTTTGCAGGCTGGTCACGAGGCAGGAGACAACCTGCTCAAAGCAGGGAGGTTGGGATCATGTCCCACACATGGCCCATCCCTCCTGCCAAAAGAGCATCCCTCCACTGGGGGGGTCACAGCTCTTCCTGACACCAGTGACAGCAGCAGTCCCACACTCTGCTGGTGGCTATTGATGGGGTGCAGGCAGGTGTGGTGGGCTGAGATTTCACCTGCTGTCTCTTTTCATGCTGGGAGAGGTTAAAAATGCATCTGGAGGGAGGTTAGAGAGGTGAAGAACTTGAGCCAAGTGTCCTGCCATAGGAGATGAGCATATAGAGGATCCCAAAGCTCACCACACCCCAGCCCACCCATAGGAATGAGCATCTGTCAGACCTCTGATGGAGAAGGGACCACTTGGTTACTTCACAGGTGACAGGGGGGACAACTACCACCAGGCACCTGCTGGTGCTTCAATCTTTCTCATCTGTCCCAATTCCCTATTCCTATCCCATCCTGGGATTTGGGAATCAGGTGAAATCTGCTGACAGAGTGCTGGCATCCCTGGGATTTCCCCTAGAGGGGGGGCTGGAGACAGAGGGAAGTCCCTGTGAATGTGGTGCCAGTCAGTTTTATTCTGGGAGAGATGCCAAAGCTGAGCACAGCTGCCGAAACAGGGGCTTTCCTCACGAGCAGGCTGCTGTCCCACTGCCCCTGACCTCAGCTGAACACTGTAGGGAAAGTGGGCAGAGATTGCACATCCCTCTC